GCAGCTATATGCAAATTTATTGGATCCAAAGAAAGCGTTTACATGAGAAAAATGTTGAACTCTCACAGGACTTGTTTGGGAAGCCAACATGGCAGACATGACGTCATGTGAAAATGCTCTATATAATTAAATCACCATCCAGTGGGTTAGTATTTAAAAAATCCAATAAAATATTCCACTATCCACGGGATAGTAATAAAGCTATAGTATAGCACTGTCCACCTTGTAAACAACTGGGGCCTTACTTGGCACTCATCTTGAAGTCAGAGTAAGTAATGAAAATTATTCTAACTTTTAAATCCAGTCACAGGTGTTATCCTTTTGGGGCTAGGGGTCAGTTCAATAGTACACCTGTCAGGGCAACCTTCAGGGTGTCCACTTCCTATTTTTTCCTATTTTTTGAGCCTACTCCTATTTTCTCCTATTTTTAAACTAAAACCTCCTATCTTTCCTATTTTTTGGCTGGTGAAGCCAAAATTTGTAACTAAATTGAAAGTGGAATTAGCTTTTGAGTGAGCTTTATCATAAAGCAAGTAGTATTTTGACTTTGATGTTCTAATATTAGCAAAAATAATAGAACTTTACATTTGTTCTTCCCATGTCCTCTATTGCCTATTAGGGTTCTGTTAACAACTTTGTTATATTGCTACTTTACGCGCTTTTGATGATATTTGCATGGAAAAGGCGTTTTATAAATTTTAAATTATTATTATTATTACTACTTTTTGTATAATTTTCTAGTGCACCTACATGTATTGTATGTCGTGTTATAGTTCTCATGACTATTGAATAATAATGTGCATAGCACAGAAACTGCATTTCAGTATGTGCGTTTTTATGTTTATCTTTCAACCTGAAATCAGGATCAAGTTGTCCTCTCACAGCAAAGGGCAGATAAATCATCCAATCAGCTTCTTGTTTAAAAATCCAATCACTAGCTGATTCTGGATGCCACGAACAGACTAAAGTTTAGCTGTTTACAGCACTAGCCCCCCTTGGTGAACCGTTTAGCTTGTTAACAGCTATTCCTAAGCTACTGACAAAGGATCCAATATTTTGGTTGCGAAACCGGTCTTGCAGTCATAGCTAAGCAGAGTGTTATGTTCTTCTTAGAACTTAACCATGACACACTTACAATCTGGTTAACCGAATAGGTCAGTGTCATTTTGCGTACACCGTGGACCGGAAAGCCTGGTTCTGTACTTAAATTAAAATTATGTGGTCTTTTGACTCAAACAAGCATAATTATTCTCAACCAGCCACTGATTGCAGATTAATGGAAGGAAAGCTTTCCATAGGACTTTTAAGTCCTTGTTCGATAGTCTTCAATGACAACACAATCATAACAAAATTTCGGTCCTAAGAAATTTCACTCTTCAAAACTTCTGAAAGATTTGCTGCCAACTTGAAGGGAATTTGCATATGATCATCTTTGATTATAAAACCATGCTCAACCTCTAGTCCAGCATATCATCAGTTCTGATTACACACACTGAGCCAATAAACTAAACGATAATGATCATTTTCACGCCTTCTTACCAGTGAAAGTTGATCTAAATCCTGGAACGTGGAAGCTAAGGACTCGTAGCCTTTATTATAACCCTGATGTGGTGCAGTCAATCTATCTTTGTCGAGAAAAGTACTATTGATTTTCCTATTTTCTCCTATTTTTTAATAGAAAGTTTCCTATTTTTCCTATTTTCATAATCCTAAGTTTCCTATTTTCCTATTTTATTTGAGCAACCATGCTGCTGGACACCCTGTTGCTCACAGGGTCCTCCTCTACTCAGCCCCTGGAGCAACAGCGGCTAAGTAGGAGATCAGGGCCCTGGGTATGAGGTTGATCGTCAGGGAACAAGACAGTTATTTCCATTGGAATCATGATTTTTCCTTGCAAATGATTGGTTGATAATTTTGCTGGAATTGCATTGCATGTGACTCACACGGCGATTGCTAATACTATCATATTATTTATCATTGTCGCTCTGCCTCTAACCCCCTGGCAATCTAACCCTGTAGGTAGTGTGTAAGATGACAAAAAGTCATTGTTGTCATATGAAGCTTAAATCTCCCGCCAATGGATAAGGCAACAATACGGTTTTCCAAATACTTATCTGCTACACCTTAGATATGATTTAACTGGTTGATGGCACTTAATCCAACTTTTGGACAACCGGAGGAATTAGGTCAGAGGTTCCTTTTGTTTTTTGTTTTTTTAACTGAATTACCTGTTGCTGTTTTTGTTTTCTACCGCATTGCCTGGGTTACTAACAATCATTTAAAGGAACGTCATGTTTTAACACAACATACATGAAATAGGTGTATAAATAAAGTGTATTAATTTTAACTGACAAAAAATTGTTTGAATAATCAGTTTTCATGATTCCGCCCTTTGTTTTGCAGAAAAAGAGGCTGCCTTGGTTAAAGAAATTCGTCAAGTGGCTTTGGAAAATGTTTCTCCAGATGCTTATATAAGAGCTTTGCTGTTGATCATGCGTGCAGTAGATAACTTCTACGTGCTCTCTGATCCTCTTCTAAGGAGACATTTCTCCCAAGAGGAATACAAGCCAGCCAAAGAGAGAATCAAGGACCTGGTTGGCCTTGGAAAGAAAAAGGGGGACTGCAAATAGTCAAGACTGTACAGACACTATTATTATTTCCTAGTCCATAAATAAATAAATACATGTATTATGGGTGGGTTATTTCCCGGGGGGGCGGGGTACTGCCATATATGGGTCGCTGTGAAGAGTATGGTTTTCAAGCAGTTTACTCTAGGATAGGGTATATAAATCAGAGCGTTTGGGTCTAGAATAGGGTATCATTTTTCAGGAAACTGATCAGTTGGCTGGAGATTTTATCTAGACTAGGGACTGTGGTATAAGGTTTTGTTTTGACTAGACTGTGCTAGTGACCTAAAGTAGTTTCTGGAAAACAGCTACTCTAGGATAGGGGGGATTTGGGGAGTTTACTCTAGTATAGGGTAGCAAAATTCAGCTGTACTAGCTCTGGTATAGGCCAAGGGGTTCCAGGGTCCCAGCGGCACATCCCCACCCAGAAATTCTTAAAGTACCCCCCCCCCCGGGGGGTATTAACATAGTATTCTTCACTGAAGTGTCTTGAAGAGTGGGTGGTACAAATTGGTTTAATCATGACAGGATTTGTATTCCGAGTTTATACTATATGGACAGGGTATAGTTTTGTTCCTTTCTGTCCTAAACAGAATATAATTTTGGGCGTGTCCTAAGCAGGACATATAATTTCTTGCGAATCTGTTCTAATAATTCATAGCGCATTGCCTGCATGATTGATTTGATTTGCTTAATAAAATTTGTTTGTACTCCAAGTTTACAAAAGCGATGACTAAATGAGGTGAATTTGCACTATTGCAATTGACAATATGGCCTTAAAACAAGACGGATTGCATTTTGTCCCTTGTCGCTAATAAAATATAGGTCGTTGTCGTTAAAAGGGTATGTATTTTGGTCAGGGTCTCAAAGCGTCAGCAGCTCACCTTTACGCGAATATTGGTCGAGTGCCCCTCCCCCGCTCACCCCTACCTTGTGCCACACCTGGTTACTGAAGTATTCCGGCAAGCAGCCCCACCCTTTTTGCATAAGAAACCTCCCCCGCTTCCTATCAGGTACGTAGCCATATCTTATCTCTCCTCAGGCGTATCATTTGATAATCTTGGCGAGCAGAGATGGAAACAACAGAATATGCCATTAATGCGTGAGACAAGCATCCACTTTGATTGTCCGTGACCCAAATATCGAGATACTTAATTTATTTTACTTACAGGTAAAAAAGCTCGTATACAACACTAATAGCGACTAGTAAGGATTTCTCTTTTTTTAATCAGCACCACTCACAAAGAGTTTTGCTTCTGTTAGTTGGAAAAGTAGAAACAGAAAACGTTTACCATTAACATTTAACAAAAAACATTTACAGTCAAGCCAGGTCAAGCGTACCCCCCAAAATGCCATTAGTGAATTTATTATTCGAAAGTTGAGTCCGTTGGCAGTTGTAGATTTCAGATTCATCTCTACATTCTTGCATGCGTAATGAGCCGTGAATTCACACGCAATTCAGCTCAGTTGCCCTGAATTAGATGTAAATGTGTTCTAAGAATTTTAATTCATTCAAAAATTTTCAATCTGACCAAATACAGACTAGCCTGCGAAAACATCCGTTTCTCCTCGCTCTTCGTCTATGGGGACGTTTCGCGCGGAGAAACGTCTGCGACTCACCAACAGAAATTCCATACTGATGACGTAAAATCTGTCCGGAATCCGGTCAGAAGCGCTGATTGGTCGACGGACTAGTTACATTGTTTTAGCTATAGTTTACGAATGACAGACAAAAGGCCACAAAGGTCAAATGTAAACGCAAAGAATCCCTAACAAAATAGTCAATATTTGTGGAATATAGTCTTCTCTAGAAGAAGCATTTGAGTCTTACTGGAGCTCGTTGGCAGGTGAACACAACACGTTACCAAAATCGACCAGAAGACACCTAAAATTGGACAAATTTGTATTTGGAACCCCATGACTACTGGATTTATTATGTAAACATTGGTCTGCGTCATCAGTATGGAATTTCTGCCGCTGAGTCGCAGACGTTCCTCCTCGCGAAACGTCCCCAGCGGCGAAGAGCGAGGAGAAACGGATGTTTTCGCAGGCTAAATACAGACAAGTTCTCGTAAATTATTCACTGCTCATTACGCATGCAGTAATTCCGATTTGACATTAATTACGGGAACGACTAACGGATTCATTTTTCAAATAATCAATTTATTAATAGAATCTTGGGGGGGTACGCTTGACCTGTTTTGACTGTAACGTTTTCATTTGCATTTTCTTTACCTTCGGCTTTTTCCAAATATGAGTCTACTATACAACTACCTCTTTCGAAAAGCTGATGTAGATCTCTTCGTTTTTAGGTATACAGTCTATATTCCTCTCCTTAACCCCGAGGTTCTTAACAAAGAGATGGCTATCATATCAGCTCAGATTGTGGAAGATAACGGATAGGAAACCGGGCTTTCTACACTTCAGATTGCAAGTGTTATGGGCGGAGCCAGGAAATCTTTCCGTGTAATGGCAATGGTCCCTAACCTTACCCCCATAATCCGTCCTTTTCGAGATGGGCGGGTGAAAACTCCCTTTCACATAACAAACACCACTTGCTTTTTTCAAAGTTCTCTCTCTCCTTTTCTCCATAAGCCATCTCTACAGGCTCTTTGAATCGATGGTAGATATCCTTGACCTCTTCTGAGAGCACGTCAACAAATATCTGAGATACATCCTCTTCCTCAGATTTTGCCGTATAGCAGACCAGCTTAGGTTTATAAACCTTATCATTGAAGCACTTTATATAGTAACACAAGTTTACGGGTTTATGGTGTTGGTATTTATTAGTATATTTTTTTTTAGGGTCGGGTTGGCCTGTGGCTATCGGTTCCATCAAAGACTCAAAATCCGCATAAATAACGAAAAGATGACGAACCTTTTTGAAATGGATTTTAAAAGATATGTAGGACCCTTCCTTCGGCATAACAATCTTTACAGCTTCGTTCTTTCCACAATACTTCGTATGGCTGTCCAATAGCTCTTGACTACCGAAAGGGTTCAAGCATCTAAGGCAGAAGAACTTTGTATGCTCATTTTTAGATATCTGTGAAGATGATAGCCTACTCGTATCTTTGATTAGGCAGTAGTGTTGTTTCTCATCGGATGAGATTAGAAGGAGGTTTACCGTACCGGCGCTTCCGATCGAGTCGATTATTCTCAACGGGTAGATTCCGGCATCACTTTCATAAGCGAATACGTTTACAACAACCTCCGGGTTGTTCATTTCGAAAAGATGTATCGCGTTAGCGCCTTTTTTTTTTAACCCTTCCCAGCTCAGAGCTTCTGACTGCTCCCTCAAGAGGGATGTCATACGTTCAGGATGAGACTTAACACGATTTAAAGCGCGGGTGATAAAACACTTGAAACACTCATCATCTTCGTTTTTCATGTTTATCAAAGTCCGTCCTTCAGGTTTTTTGGAAGAGGGATATAGCTATTATCTCTCAAAGGTTTACACTCAACGGTGTGTATAGTCTGATCTATAATAGACACAAATTCCCAGTTGCTACAGCGGCTCTGAAAGGTAGCTACGTTTTCGAGAATCCTTCCTACCATCGTATTATAAAGGCTATTGATGACGGTACCTTCAAGGATTTCATGGATCCTTGATCCTTGATGCGAATGGCGCGGTTGTTTCGATCGTTTCTCTCGTCGATAGATTTGTTCTCGCCATATTACAGTTCATCGAGGACCATCTTTACCTTTGTTTGTCTACTCTCTCTCAAAAGGTTAGTAACTACGGTTCTTACGGCTGATAAGAAAGACATCGGACTACACCCATCAATAGGACCATCGATGGTGCACATATTAGCGAATTCACGTAAAGCTAATTTTTCTTTTCGGAGACTAAATGATTTAGTCTGTTTATATAGCTCATTTATACGTTTTTTGAAAGACGCAAGGACCGAATCAACGGCTTTCGGTTCTTCAGTGGGGGCGTTGAGAAATCGCTCTCCCCAATCATCTACCTTTTTCTTTCCCCACTCAACCGCCTTTTTTACCTTTTGGTATTTTGTCGGTTGTAATATAGGAGGTGGCAGCGCCTGTGGTATATCGGTATCTAATAGCGTTCTAGGAGCATGATTGGCTCTCCGAGCAGTTCTCGGCGCCGGAAAAGGTCTCGGTCTCAGTATCCCTCTCGGATGAGGTACGGTGGGAACGCGTGGGGTAGCTGATAGTCGTTTTGACTTAATCCGAGCGTGTCTTTTTTCAAGCAGAGTATCTTATCGTACATATTACCCCTACATCTTTAAGTCACTTTTTTTCACCCTATTTGAATGAAAAAGGTCTATAGGTTATCTTATCACGGGTTTTCAAAGGTATGCAATCGCCAGCTGTTCCGAGCAATGACTTAGCAATGCATGAATTTTTCGGGCTCACCTTTGTTTTTGCTTTAGCTTAGGTACCTACCTATCGTTCTAAAGCTGATCCCCAGATCTTTTCCACAGCGGTATATGCTTTTGTAATCGGTAGTAACACCAAAGGTAATGTAAGGTAATGTAACCGGTATTGAGGTACTACGTGGAGGTTTAGCTACCTTCTTAGGGTCGATACCCAGCTCCTCAAGAAGCTGTTCTTTTGTTAGCGTTTTTCTTTTTACGTTTTTGATCCTCTTTTCATGGCACACCTTATAAATCTCTTTTAGGTTCAGATATAGTTTCTCATTAGGTTCAGCCACCTTTTTTTTTTTCTTTTGCATATGAACGCTCTCTATTTTAAAAATAATATCAGGGTACCCGCTCCACTTAACAAGCGCTCTACCGAGCTTGTTATCTCGCCGTATTATCTTTTCAATTCTGAATAGGGAATCCTGGGATAGCTCAACCTTTAACATCTCTTACTCGTAAAAAGAGGAATGCTTTGTATTGTTGAATTCTCTCAACAGCCCCGGTAGTATATCCACCCACTCTGTCGAATTTTGAGCCTTGAATCGCTTCCACATCCTACCCTTCATTGTTCGATTCCACCTCTCAGCCACCGAGGATTTCTCTTCATTCTCTGTAGAGTAGAGCACTATTTTGTTCTTATCTACTACCTCCTTCAAGATTTCGTTATAGTATTCTTTTTCTTTTGTCTGTCCACAGATATTTCGGGACCCTTCCCTCTTTGAATATCTTTTTAATCGACATCAAGCTGCATCGATATAGCATCCGTTTTTCCCGTGGGAGGATCATAGATCTCAAGTATCTTACCGGTTTTTGGATCAAAACTTACCCGTGTTCATCCAGATCGTTGTAAGGAGCGGTATACTTATGCCCGGGTAACGTCCATCCTCCTTTTGGTTTAGGTAATTTACCAATAAAATTGTATAACCACTAGGTCTTGCTCAATATAATGTCTAGTAAAACCACTGCATGCAAGCGATACTTAAGCTGAGTTTCTTAGTATACTTATTTCACATAGCATTTTTACAGCAAGCATGTGCACATTGCTGCTAAAAGAAAATGAGAGCTGGCGCAGAGCTACTGAAAATGCCTATGCAGTGATTACCGCATTAGATCGACTTTATAACTCGAAGTGATTCTAGAACACATGGTAGTACATCCAGTTGCTACATCTATGACTTTACACTAGTTGATAGAAATATGGAGATGTTATTGTCAATTTAAGCGTTAAATAAGAACAATCAGTTAGGTTTTGGAAGAAAGTAAGGCCAAAATAGATTTAAGGCTTTTTTTTATCATAATTCTCATGGCGGTTACTTGGCTTCAGTTTAATTGCATTACCTCAATGAGAAAGTTTAGTTAGTAAAGTTCGAAATTTTGAGGTGTCAGTATGAATCTAGAATACTTAAACTCGCAACTGATGCAAATTAACAAACAGTAATAACAAAGCAAATAAAGTCAATTGAACTGTTAAGTCTGATGTGTGTGTTTTCACTTTTGTCCAAGGGGTTCAGAATGGAACTGCCAACCCCGGTTTTGTAGTTTGATTTTACAAATTAAAAAGTAGTTTGAACTGAGACGTAATTGTGATTTCAGCGCCTGTGTCACGTTGTAACTGTCTCAATATGAGAGGAACCCATTGAAAACGGCAGGGTTTCTAGCAAAACGCTCACCGGCCTCCCGAACGAAGAATAACGCTGCCGTGTGGTCAGTGATTAGCTTTTGGCCGAAACTGAGTGAATCAAGTTACTGAGTAAATAAGTGAATGCATAGAGAACACCGTTACTGGTAGGAGTGCGGGTAAGATCGTTGTAAATACGATACCAACCGTGATCACTTAACTTCCGTCTTTTGCCGTTCTGCAAATACCCGGCCGCGTTGAATACTGAACGAGATCTTGGATAAGGTCTCTATTAACCCTGCTGTAACCAAATATGGTGAATGAGCTCGTCATAGAGTAAGCTACATTAAAAACGTTTTCTTTTTGCTCGCGGAGGCTCGAAAAGAATGGCGGCCGGCGAAAGGACAGACTGTTCACGTCAAAATTAATAAAAGAAAACCGAATAACTGGACTATTACAGGAAACACGTAGAAAGTCATATACTGTAATTACTCGAATGGCGCACCCCTTAACGGACCTGTGTCTCTGTGCAGCGCATGTTTAAGCTGTGACAATAGCTTAATGCTTTTAAATTAATCGGAAAAGAATGTACATCATTCAAGTTTATCGTTCGCGACGCGCGAGTCTTTCGGACGATTAGTTCGATATTGTATATATAGTCCAGGCATTTTAAACGATGGAAACGAGGCTGCATGTACTGCGTGTTGTTTTGCTCGAGGTTGAAGCCACGTGCAGCCTGGGCTAGTGAAGATTGAGAGAATTTATTGTGTTTTCCTCTTAGGTAAGTGCATTTATGTAATCATTAAAGAAAGTAACTGTTCTGTATAAGATTCTTAAATCAGAAAAAAAAAAACATGTAAAATTAAACCTGTAGAAAATGTCCACGATTGCTATAGCTAGCCATCTAGATCTTGGGGAAGCATTTAGCGAGCAATTACCTCTTCCTAACCCACAAGCGAATTTAGAACTTTTAAAAGGATAATTTTACACTGAAAGCAAAAGTAATGTCATGTTCTAAGATAATATAATTCAAGAAAAAATTATTTGACTTGAGTGTCTTGAGTAGAGACGAAATGAATCATTCACCTTGGCAAAAAAACCTGTTTTTCACTCATCGCTTTGCGCTTACTTTTTTGTCACAAAACTTAACTCATTACAGTATGCTGCCCAGTATCCTGACTCTTCAGTTTAACATCGCAATAGCTTTCCTTAGTTAGTAGCAAGAGCTCTGAAATTTGGCCCAGAGAAAATCTATTTAGTCCTGTATATGACGAAAGACAGTTTACCTTTTTTGCCTTTGTTTCCATCGCGAAATTAACAGTTTTGCAGAGCTCCTATGTTGCCCATTATCCGGCCACAACAATAACAACGCAATTTTACATAAATTTCGACAGGCAAGCGACTTACAAGCTTCTCTTGCACTTGCAAAGTAGTCCGGCTGACAATCGATTACAAAACTATAACCTAGCATCGTGAAATAAAACATAACAAATTACTGGGGTATGGTGAGGAACGCGAGCGGCTGTTAAATGGTATAATTCTTACTTCCTTGTCTAGGAACTTTTTCACTGATTTAAGGAAGACATCCGTGGACATGCCGAAGCCGCGGTTTGTAAGCTCAACTAGCCAATCTGCAAACGACTTTTTTCTTCGTTTTTTATCAAAGAAAAAAAGCTTTAGGAAGGGACATCAATCTAAAGGGTCAAGGGTCACTCTCCTATTAAGGTTGCCCGAACCTATTTGTGTGCGCGTTGGTTATGTTTTTGAATCGTGTTTTTCAGCGGAAAGATTTAACCGATTTCTATGATTTTTCACATACTTAATAAGGTATGGTTGAACTTTAAGAAACTGTTATTTTTTTCCTTGTAGATATAAAAACGTTTGAGGTATCGGAATATGTTTAAGACCGCATTTTTGCAAAAAATATCAATAACTTCGAAACCCTAAGACAGATTTTTCTCTAACTTCAGCAAATAAGCCTCAGAGCCGCTCTTGTTTCATATCTGCAAGTTTGAAGTCAGTCGTGACCGTAGAACTCGGTGCATAAAATCAAATAATAAACTTGTAATCCACAAATCGGTTAACTGGGAGGTTCAAGGGTGGGGCCGGGTGACTTGAGAGAAAAAATAATATGCAAGTACAGTGCAAGAATGAAGCAACATCTAAAATCTTACATCTAGTTAGTAGTCTCCATTGTACACTTTGGCCACAGTAGATTAGGCGTGGAAAACAAATTCTTCCCGAGCAAAATCACCTTTGTGCGCACCTACACCACCTTTATTTTATAATTTTATGCTATAAAGACACGATAGTCCCCGGTGGCAGCCAATCTACTCGTTATAACTTATCGGTGTCTCTCTGTCTAAAAGAAAGGCCAAAATG